GGGTGGCCCAAGAGACTCCCAGGCAGTAACCCAGCATAGAACTGAGAAAATGAACAGCAGACCCCAATCTTATCTAAAGGAATATTGACAACTGATCGCTGCTAGATGAGGAAGAGCTGATCTTCCTAAAACAAGGATCTCTAGATAGGCTGACTAGATTCAGCGGATGGACAAGCACTAGGGAATGGCTGAGGGTGCCGACAACACAGTGGACAGCAACAGGTATGACAGAGTTTATCGACTCCAGTGGTTGGGGGTAGAAGCTATGGGAAGTGCCATTTAGGAGGTGAATATATAGATGAATAAGATTGTTTGGGATGTTCTGTATGATACACACACACACAAGAAAATCAACCCCCCAAAAATCACATATTTGAGGAGGAAGCATAAAACTTTACTTCATGTTAATTAGTAGAGGTGATAAACATTACCATTGAAATATACCTGATGATTTTATATCCATACTCACTTGCCAAGGATCCATGTGTAACTGACTGTGACTAGAAATAATCAGATTGATAGAGTGTAGAGACATGTGCAAATATTTAAGTGTTAGTAGCATTAAAAATGAGTTTTTCCTGTAGGAAACAGCATATTTTAAAATGAAATGTAGATCTTTTTTCAAGGTTAAAAACTCATTCAATTTTATGTCTTACAGGGTCTATACTGAGTTCAATATTGTATAACTGTATTAATTCAACTGTGAACCTAAAAATTTGCAGTCACTTTTGAAAGAGATATATCCTTGCTCTGGAAATTGTTATTGAATATGTTAAAGCTGTAATTAAATGCTCTTTCTAATCATGTGGTTATTAAATAAAAAATAAATAATGATATATTTTAAAAGAATAAATTGAAACAAGAAGTAAATTAAAAGATGGAAGTTCCTCCAACTTCCCCCATTGCTAGGATTTCATTTTATTTCAAAATTTTATTTATTTTTTATATGTTTGAGTGTATTGCCTGCATGTATGTAAGTACACTTGTGTAATATGGTGCTCATGGAGGGCAGAGGAGGGTATCAGATTCCCCTGGAACTGGAGTTATAGATGGTTGTTAGCTGCCATGTGGGTGCTAGAAATCAAACCTGGGTCCTCTGCAAGAGCAGCCAATGCTTTTAACTGCTGAGCTGTCTCTCTAGCCCCTTATTTCAAATTTTTATGTAGATAACTCTTACCACTACCATCAGCCATCAGGTTAGAATATTACCTTTAAATCATTTGGTCAATGATTTAATTTTGTGTGTGTGTGTGTTGTGTGTGTGTGTGTGTGTGTGTGTGTGTGTGTGTGTGTGTGTGTGTGTGTTTGAGACCAGATCTCCTTGTAGTCCCAGCTGGCCTGGAACTTGCTATGTAAACCAGGTTAGCCTCAAACTCACAAAGTTCTGTGTCCCGAGTGCTGGGATTAAAGGCATGTACCACCATGCCAGGCTTATGGTTTAACTTTACAGATGAAAAAATTGAAACTTCCAAGAGACAAATTTGCTATGCAATTGCCGTTTTTGTTTTATATTATTAATGACTTCCTTTCCTCTCCCTTCATTAGCTAAATAAGTTTAATTTCTTGAGGCTATGGATCACCATGCTTGCCTAGTCACAAAGTCTGGATAGTCATCTTTGGGGTTGATGTTTAGACAATCAAATTAGGCATAAACCCTAAAGAAATCACCTATCCATATGAACATGGAATGCTTTTTCAAATTGTGCTATTGGCAGCATTGATGGTACAGTAGTGAGCACAGCCACCTTCAAATTGTGGTATTTATAGGAATACTTGGGAAATCTTACCAAAGTTCTACTTGTTTTCCAAGTTCTCCACAATGTGATTGCACCCCATCTGCCTCCCTTTATTTCTTACTATTTTAAACCAACCACTAATCCTCCAGTTTGGAAGTCATCTTTCCAGTTCCAGTGTATCTCCTATATCGACAATATCATCTACTAATCTTCTGTTGTTTCTCACACAGGATCAAGATTGGGTCTGGGCACCCAAGATTTGATAAGGAAAGAATATTTGGATTGAATTGAATCCCTGTAGAACGTGAATCATTTAGAGACACCGACTTTAGACTTCAGTGAATATTTGCTGCAAGTTGGTCCAGTTCTCAGTGAAAAGTCATGGGCCCAAAGAGAAATGCCAAGTATGTAACTTAATTAAACTATAAAGCTATAAATATCACTTTCTACTAACTTACTTTGTAATTCAAAGCATTTTGAACAGTGTGAACCACAGAGTAGAATTTTATATATTTTAACTGACAACTGTTTGCAAATCACAACCCAGAGTTGGATCTGTGTTTCGTGCAGCAACAAGAGTACTTTTGTCAAAAAGAAAGCACTAAGCTGTTCAGAATGAGCACCGTTGGGATAGTGGGGCACTTTTCATGTAGTTGTAGGTCTTAAACTGACCTTGGAAAAGAGTGGCTGAGACCCTGTGCTGCCTTTTAAAGACTAAAACTTCATTTTGAAAAGTGCTACAGTAAAAGTGATGTTATAGTATTAATTATTAGGTACTTAAAATAAGAGGAGCCAGCTGGGCGTGGTGGCATACACCTTTAATCTCAGCAGAGGCAGGTGGCAGAGGCAGAGGCAGCAGAGGCAGAGGCAGGTGGATCTCTGTGAGTTCAAGGCCAGCCTGGTCTACATAGTCAGTTCCAGAACAGCTGGGACTATAAGGAGACCCTGTCTCAAAGTTTAAGATGTTAAATCAGAATGAATCTATTTTGGTCTACTCACAACAGGCTTGGTAACATTTTTTAAGACCTTTGGTCTGAATTTGGAGGACCAAGGATCTCGCTCAGTGGCAGGACATTTGTTTAGCATGTATAAGATCCAAGATTCCATCACTGATATGGAAAAAAACCCCAAGGAATCTGAAATGCTTTATTATTAGGCATTGTAACTTCTTCCCCTTCCCTTTGCCCTCAAAAGGAACTGGTGTCTGATGGGGCATGGGAAAGTAAGTGAAAGAACAGTATATCAAACTATTTGCATTGATGATTATTTTTACCACCATAGCCCTAGAAAAAGAAACTTGTAGGTATACTTTGGAAAATAATAGAACCATTGACCAAGCAAGGTCAATAGGAACTGGAAATTTGGTTGTGAAGGTCTGTAATTATGTTTCTTCACGTGATTGGTTGATCATCTTTAAGGTACTATGAGAGTCTAGTTGTTTGAGAATTGCCTTGGGCCTGTCTACTAGAACAACTTCTTCAAGTGGTCTAAAACTCCTTTTCAAAAGAAATCAACTTACTGAATGCCAGCATATCTCTAAGAGCTCCCATTTGCTTAGTTAGCCCTTTAACCTGAAGTGCCCCCTCTCCCACCCCCTGGTATATAGGCTGGATAATGAGGCCTATTCAATTTCTGATCATCTAAGTTAGTCACCTTCCAAGTTAAATTCCTAAACTTAATTGAAGGCGATTGAGAACATGTAGAAGGCGGGGACTCTAAGTCGGCAATTCACTGGATGTTCTGCCTCTTTTTCAGGTTTAGTGATGACAGTGAATCAAAGACTATGAAAAACAACCTCTTTAAATTTGAGAGAAAAGTAGGTTTTGATGGTGAAGAGGTAAGGAAGACCAGTAATGTGTTCATGTGTGATCTTTCTTTGGTGTTGCTTAGACTGTTTACAAATATTGGGTTTACAAAATTCCTATGTGAAAGCAAAAAGGGACAAGAAATTATGTATGGCACAAGATTAATTTCATTTTAGTGAAACAAAGACATGGTGGGGCAGGGGGAGGCAACGACATACCGGCAACAAATGAGGACATAAAACCCATGAACCACAAATTTATCTTAGGAAGGATTTAAATCCTGGCTCACCTAGATGTCAACGATATTTTTTTATGTGATGTTTTAATTGATTTTGAAAGTCACCATATAAAGTAATGCTTGTTTTGCTGTACTGGGACTGAACCCAGGGCCTCATGCATGCCAGGCAAGCACCATACCATGGAGCTATATCCCTATTCTTTCTTTTTATTTTAATACAGGTGTCACTAAATTGCCCAGGCTAACCTTGAACTCATGATTCTCCTGCCTCAGCCTCCCAAGGAGTCAGGACCGCAATCCTTTACCACTATTTCAGGCAAAGTAATAAGTTTTATTATGGCAGTTTCGTGTGCGTGTGTGTGTGTGTGTGTGTGTGTGTGTGTATTTACATGCAGATGTGTGAGTGTATAATTTATTTTCCTTTTTTTTTTTTTTTTTTTGTCTTTTGAAAAAGGGTCTCTCTATAGCCCTAGCTAGCATAGAACTCACTATGTAGACCAGGCTGGCCTTCAACTCACAGACATCGCCTGCCTCTGCCTCCCAAGTGCTGGGATTGCAAGCGTGTGCCACCATACCTGGCTATAATTTGTTCTTATTTGTCCCCTCACTGTCTTCCCCAACCTCTCTACCCTTCTCTTGCTAGCCTACTTCCTCTCTCTCAGATACTGCCCTCTTCTGCTTTCTGTCATGCACATTTTATTACCCACTGTCCTGTTAGCTTCAACTGTCAACTTGACACAGTCCAGTCATCTGAGAAGGGAGTCTCAATTGAGGGATTTCCCATATCAGATTGACCTGTGGACATGTCTAAGGGGGACTGTCATGATTGTTAATTGATGTAGGAAGTCCTAGCACACTATGGGCAGGACCATGCCCTGGGCAGGTGATCCAGGGCTGTATAATAAAGACAGCCAAGCATCGGCCTGGGAGTGAGCCAGCAAACTGTGTTCCTCCATGGTTTCTACTTCAAGTTCCTGCTTTAACTTCCCTCACTGATGAACTATGACTTGGACGTTTAAGCCAAATAAATCCTTTCCTCCCCTAAGCTGCTTTGGGTCAGCATGCCTTTTTTTTTTTTTTTTTTTTTTTTTTTAAATCACAGCAACAAAAAGGAAACTAGAACACCCACCATTTTTTTTATTTTTTGATCTTTTTGAGACAGGGTCTCCCTATAACCCCAGCTGACCCAGAACTTGCTGTGTAGACCAGGCTGGCCTTGAACTCACAAAGACCTGCCTGCCTCAGCCTTCCGAGTGCTGGGATCAAAGGCATGCGCCACCACACCCACCATCTTAAGACCTCTTTCTTCCCTCTCATGGCCTCCTACTTTCATGACCCGTGTGCGTGCGCGCACACATACACACACACACACACACACACACACACACACATTTATATCTAGTTTCTGCATATGAAAGAAAACATGTGGTATTTGTCTTTGAGTATAGCTTGTTTTACTTAACATAATGGAATTCCATCCATATTTCTGCAACTGTAATAATTTCATTCTTCTTTAAAGCTTAATAAAATTTCATTGTGTATATGTACCACAATGTCTTTATTCATTCATCTGTTGGTTCCACTCCTTAGCTATTGTGCATAGTACAGTATGCATGGATATGCACGTATTTCTGTCTTATGTTGACTTAGAATCCTTTGGGTACATACCCAGGAGTGATATAGCTAGGTCCTATGGTAGTTCTATCTTTAGTTTTTTGAGACACCTCCACATGGACTTCCATGGTGATGGTACTAATTTACATCCTCACCAGTAATGTATAAAGGTTTCAAGGCCATTTCTTGTAGCAAAATTCCATTGGGTATCTTGGTAGCTTTCCCAAGATTATCATATTCTAGCAAATTTTTGAGGCCAATTTTTATTTCACCAGCCAGCGATAATGTAAATCAACATAACAAAATTGAAAACATATTCCAATTTGGACAATCTTGTGGGTTTTAGTCAACTGCTGGAGGCTAATTTGGAACAGAGATGCAATTCCTCAGAAAAATTCAAAAGTAAAAACATTTTCTTCAGGGACTTTCCCTCTTAATATTCATTTTTTTTAACTTTAAGAAAAAAAAACCCTTTCCTTTCCTCCAAGCAAACTTTTCTTAGATTTCTAATAATTATACATGTATCATACATGCCATACTTGTGAAGAGGATTTCTTTAAAATGAAGCCTCTGTTTTGAACAAGTAGACTTCAGTTTTCCAAAAGCTACACATGAAGTAATTACATCTTTGGATTTGTCTCATCTTTCTTCTCACCCTTTTTTAACAGAATGTATGGAATGGCTCTGCTGTTCTTCCTCTCAATCCTCATCCAACCCAAGAGCTGCAACTCCTGGTACTTTCCTTCTGAGCATAACACAATCTCCTCTCCATCACTTCTGCCCCCATCTTACTGCCATCCTCTTCTCCATTCATTTCTTACTTTGTTCACTGTCTGCCATGCCTCCTTCCCCAGAACCCTGCCTTACTCTATCACCTCCGTAGAGGCATGGCAGTCTTCAAAACTGCTGACCCAAGCATAGGAGGATGTTCTTCTCCTTTTATTCTGATTTCTGATTATGCTGAACTAAAAGAAAGGTAATTCAGGGTCTTTATGTCCTGTGTTCTTACTTCCATTCATCCTTAGCTAAGGGTGCAAGTGAGGAGGAGGTAGGAAGGACCTCAGCTCCTCCTTTACCAGGCAGGACACTTTAACAATCCAAATAGCCAGGCACTGCCACTAGTGCTATGATGCAAAAATCGTAGACAGAATTGACAAACTTCAACAATTTTTTTATAATGTCTCTAGAAATTTGTATCTTGCAGTGATGTTCAGAAATGCAAAGTCTTTTCTTCAGTCTTCTGTGTCAGTTCCCAGCTCTGTTGGCAGAGGTGTCTTTAGAGTCCCCTAGACTCCACATCTCTTGGGTCATTGCTCTTTTTTAACTTTGCTTTTCTCTTTAAAGTTTGGCCTCCGTGTTAACCGAGCTCACTCCCATAGATAGCAAAAAGGCAGAGGAAGGGTGTGGTTCCACCCATCTACTGCCTGACAACCTTATGTGGCATTTCATGTGAGTGTGCATGTGAGTAGATACACATATTCATGTGGGGTCTGTATGTGTGTACAGGTTAGGATGCATGTGCATGTATGTGCACATGCATGTGGAGGCAGGAAGTCAGTCTCTCAGGTGTCATTTCTCAGAAGCTGTCCACCTTGGTTTTTGAGACAAGGTCTCTCACTGGGACCTGAGAATCATTGATTAGGCTAAGCTGGATAGCCAGGGAGCCGCAAGGATTTGCCTGTCTCTGCCTTCCCAGAGCTAGGATTACAATCATGTGCCAGCATGGCTGGGTTTTTATGTGGTTGATGGGGATTGAACTCAGGTTCTTGTGTACTTCGTGGACTGAGTCTTCTCCCCAGACCCCCTAAGGGAAATTTCGAAGACATGTTTACTTTTCTAGCTACAAACTTCTCGAATCTCAGAATGTCTCAGAATCCTGTTCTCCTGGCTATAGCCCTTATACCAGAAACCTAGAGAGCAACACATAATGTTCTCCTCACTTAGTGTCCAACAGAGACCCATTTCAGTGAGAATAAGATGAGGTCAGGGGTGGAACACTATTTATGAGAAGTATGACCTGGGGCTAGGAAGATAACTCAGTGGGTAAAGCACTTGCCATGGAATGAGGGCCTGAGGTCAGACCCCCAAGCACCTACATAAAAAGCTGGGTGAGGTCTTAGATTGTGGCTCAGTTAGTAGAGTGCTTGCCTCTCATGCACAGTCCCCACCACTGAGTAAACCAGGCATGATGGTACGTGCCTGGAATCCCAGCATCTGAGAGGTGGAGGCAGGAAAATCAGAAGTTAGCTTGGGATATGTGTAGTTTCCTCTCTCCTGAGAGTTTCTCTCTCATTACCGTGAGAACTAACACTGAAGTTACTGTCTTTTTTAAAGTGTGACACTATAACCCCAGCATTTGGGGCTTTTTGCCCCCCTCCCCCAAGTCTAGCTGAATCCATGAAATTCAGGTTCAGTGAGAGATCCTATTTCAAAAAATAGAGAGCCTCCACACTCATCCACACACATGCACACACACACGCGCGCACACACACACACACACACACACACACTCACAAAGAGAGGTGTAACTTGAAACCATTAATTCTGTTTCTTGTCTTTAGGTTTATGGTACAGCTGGACAATCAAAATTTGTCCTAAAGAACCTCTGGCACTATACTGTCCATCCAAATATGGTAGGTGGAAAAGCATTTCCCCCAAACTTCTAAGGGCAAATTTCAGCAATGGGTCCAGATTCCCACTGCAGAGTGCCCCCTTCAAATGCTCCCAGTTTCCAGGATGGGGAAGCACAGCAGCTCTAGGGATACAATGCTGGGATTGGTTTGTGAGGTGGGAGGAGAGACCTGGGAAGAAAGTGGTCCCCGGCAGCTCATTTTATTTTTCAGTAGAGAAAATATAATCAGGGAAAGCATGTATAATCCATGCTCCCTCCCTTTCTTCCTCTCTAATCCTCCCATTGAGAGAAAAGCAAGCTTGGTGAGACAGCCTCTTCCCTGCCCACACCTGCAGTGACGCACTGTGATTCGTGACTGCCTTTCCCTTCTAATGCTGTGCTACTGTGTCCCTGCTAATGCCTGTGACTGTGGAGAAGTGTGGGCGGAAATAAGGGATTTGTTGAGCTTTGCTCCTTGGGTTTTCCCCCTGCCTCAGAGACAGATGTAAAGACCAATCAGCCTGAGCCACATAGAAGCTTCTGTTTGTGCCACTAGGCTGGACACTAGCTTATGTGTTTTTTTAAAGATTTAAGTCATCTTATTCTGTTACTATGGAAACCTTTCCATTTCATTTCCCCAGGTCTTTAGATTATTTCTAGCTCTAAGGAAAGATTGTGCCAGAGTACTTCCAAGAGTTTCAAACCGTCAAATTTAGAGGCAGGTTTGTCCAGGCCCTGCTCTACCTCAGCCTACCTTGTAGAAGGAAAAGATTTGCCGACCTATTCGTTAGTCCTTCCTTAACCTAATCTCTTTATTTCTTTGGAAACCTTTTTGTCTACTCAGGCCAGGCACTATGAACCTTTGAAGCCTAGTAAACTGCAGAAATTCCTGGCTCAAAGGAATAAAATTAGCAGCTTCATGGTGAAAGTGGCAGAGTTTGATCAGGATATGACCTTACTGCTCATGACCAACAACCCACCTCCCTACAGCATCAGTCAGCACGACAAGGATGGTGCTCCAAAATACTTTCCCCAGGATTTTCAGCTCAAGGTATTGGTACCCAGAGAAATCTCCTGGCAGCCTAAGTGTGGACCACAAGGAGTTAGGACTTAGCAGAGAGTATGGACCCAACTTAACATAGAGAAGGTACCAGAAAGCTACCTCCTCCTTCTCATGCCTGGCCATGTGGTTCACAAAAACAGAACTGCTATAACTTTGAGGTTAGCCTGGGCTACATAGCAAGATCCTCTCTCAAAACAAAACAAAACAAAACAGAATAAGACATAAAAAAAATTCCTGACTGTATTCAGTAAGAACCAGAATCAGACTATAAAGATGATTACAGGACAATTTTCATCTGGAGAAACTTGGAATCCAATAGATCAATAAATGATATACATTAAAAATGATTCAAATACACCAGGATGTATGAATAATCAAAGAACATTCAAGATATAGAAGTAATGTAGAATAGAGAAGAATATCTGTGTTGGGGAAAAGGGAAAGTAATCAAGATGGCTCACAACAAAACAGGAGAATGCGCCAATCGGAGGGAAGCGGGAAGCTTAGAGCCACAAGAAAGTGAGGTGCGTTCAGGGAGATGTAAAAGAGAAACTGGCAGGAGATAAAAGAATATAATAAAATTTGTGTTTGAAAGAGCATTTTGCAGGCTGAAGGAAGCTGCATTCGTTGTAGAAGAGACAACAGCCAGAAAGATTAGTTATGATGTTACTATAAGAGTCGAGATGAGAGGTCTGAACTAATAGCCAAGGAAGCAAAGAAAATTGATTTAAGAGGTATTTAGGAGTCAGGATGGAAGAAAGATGTTGACAGGCTTGAGACCAGGCCTAATCTAACAGGAAGAAGTTAAAACTCAAAGCACCAACAAAAGAAGCCAACAGAGATTTGATTCTAGGAATGGGGTTTCCCAAAGACTGCCCCTCATAACAAAATGTGGATTTGGAATTATTTCTTTAGTCGCTAGATGGAGAGAAGTGTGAAATCCTCTTCAAATGGAAGATAAAATGCCCAAACCCAGTGGTGTATACTGACAAAGGAATCAATGAATTCACTGCCTGTGGTCTCTTGGGTCTCAGAATCTGGGCCCTTCGACAGTGACGTCAGTGTTGGTTCTTATGGTAGTGCATGTAATGTGCTTCTGAGAGAGAAACAATGAAGGGCAGGATGGCTCTTCCTAGTACAGACAAGGAAATACAAGGCAAACATGTAGCCTGGGTGCAAGAAGAGCTTTCTTTCAAAAGCTGACCCCATGTGAGGCTCTGCGAACAGGTACAGTACCTGATCATCCTCATGAGTAAATTGTTGTACCAGTTAAATAGTCTTAAGGGACAGAGCTAAGGCTTTGGTTGTTAAAGGCTAGAATGTGTCCTGTGTAAAATGGCTCTTTAATATTTCTGATGCACCTCTCCCACCCCTCTTTTTTTTTTTGTCCTAGGATCACATGTAAGAAAAACATTCTTTTACTGTGCCCAGCCACAGTGTGGGTTCTAGTAGGTAGGCTGAGGAACGGACAATTGTGTCTGTCATGGTGATGATTGTTAGTTTCAGTTCCCTCTAAGTGAATCTTGCCTTGCTACCATTTCCTATGAGAAATGGAAGCAAGGATTTGCCCTACCAAATCCCATTTTGTATAATATAACCCTATCTGTACTCCTAGGATGGACTGGATCCAGTGAAATAAAATGTATAGACTGGTTACTGATCTGTGGTGCTGACCAGTACCTCCAAACCAAAGATCAATGGGCATGAAAACTGAAAGGGTGCACAGAGTGATGCCATAGAAGGATCAAACCAAGAGGAAAGGGGGAGGGTAAGGGCCTTGGATATAGAGTACGCATAGGCTGAAGTTATAGGAAAGGGAAGGAAGAGGAAGGGGGAAAAGAAGGGGAGACAGAGAGGGAGAAAAAGAGGGGGATAGAGGGGAGAAAGAAAGAAGAAGAAGTAGGGAGAGAGAGAGAGAACAGTAAGAAAGTAGAAGAGACTTGTTAATGATATGTCAAAGTTAAAACAACTTGCTGATTTTCCACTAGTGTCATCTTAGATTCTAAATAACTCTCAGGTAATGTTTAGTTTATTAAAATTTAATCTTATGGGAAAACATCTAAGTGTTAGTTGCATTAAAAATGAGTTTTCTGTATGAAACAGTATATTTTAAAATGAAATGGACATCTTTTTTGAAGGTTAAAACCTCATTCAATTTTATGTCTTATGGGGTTTATACTGAGTACAATATTATATAACTGTACTAATTCAACTTTGAACCTAAAAATTTACAGCTAATTTTGAAAGAGATGCATCTTTGCTCTGGAAATTGTTATTGAACATGTTAAAGCTGTAATGAAATGCTTCTTCTAATCATGTGGTTGTTA